AGACCAGGACCAGGACCAAGACCAGGACCAAGACCAGGACCAGGACCAAGACCAGGACCAAAACAAGGACCAAGACCAGGACCAGGACCAGGACCGAGACCAAGACCGAGACCAGGACCAGGACTAAACCAGACAGAACACTGCAAAGGACCAAGACCGGGTTAGACCAAAGACCGGGGGTTAGACCAGGACCAGGACAAGACCAAGACCAGGACTAAACCAGACAGAACACTGCAAAGACCAAGACCGGGGTTAGACCAAGACCAGGACAGACCAAGACCAGACCAGGACCAGGACCAAGACCAGGACCAAACAAGGAACCAAGACCAGGACCAGGACCAGGACCGAGACCAAGACCGAGAAGACCAGGACTAAACCAGACAGAACACTGCAAAGACCAAAGACCGGGGTTAGACCACCAGGACCAAGACCAGGACCAGGACCAAGACCAGGACCGAGACCAGGACCAGGACTAAACAGACAGAAACACTACAAAGACCAAAGACCGGGTTAGACCAAGACCAAGGACCAGGACCAGGACCAGGACTAAACCAGACAGAACACTGCAAAGACCAAAGGACGGGCGTTAGACCAGGGGACCAGACCAAGACCAGGACCGAGGACCAAGACCAAGCCAGGACGAGACCAGGACTAGACCCCAGAGAACACTGCAAAGACCAAAGACCGGGGTTAGACCAGGACCAGGACCAGACCAGACCAGGACCGAGGACCAAGACCGAGAGCCAGGACCAGGACCAAGACCAGGACAGGATAAGACCAGACAGAAACTACAAAGACCAAAGACCGGGGTTAGACCAGGACCAGGACCAAGACCAGGACCAGGACTAAACCAGACAGAACACTACAAAAGACCAAAAGACCGGGGTTAGACCAGGACCAGGACCAAGACCAGGACCGAGACCAGGACTAAAACAGACAGAACACTACCAAGACCAAAGACCGGGGTTTAGACCAAGACCAGGACCAGACCAGGACTAAACCAGACAGAACACTAAAAACAAAGACCGGGGTTAGACCAGACCAGGAACCAGGACCAAGACCAGGACCAGACCAGACCAGACCGACCAGACCAAGACCAGGACCAGGACTAAACCAGACAGAACACTGCAAAGACCAAAGACCGGGGTTAGACCAAGACCAGGACCAAGGACCAGGACCAGGACCTAAACCAGACCAGAACCACCAAAGACCAAAGACCAGGGAGACCAGTGGACCAGACCAAGACCAGGACCAGAAACCAGACAGAACACTACAAAGACCAAAGACCGGGGGACCAGGACCAGGACCAGGACCAAGACCAGGACCCAGGACTAAACCAGACAGAACACTACAAAGACCAAAGACCGGGTTAGACCAAGACCAAGGACCAGGACCAGGACCAAGACCAGGACCAGACCAAGAGACCAAGACCAAGACCAGGACCAAGACCTAAAAGACCTATAAAGACCACCGGGTTTAGACCAGGACCAGACCAAGACCGGACCGAGACCGGACCTAGGACCAAGACCAGGACCAGGACCAAGACCAGGACCAAGACCATGACCAGAACCAAGACAGAACACTTACAAAGACCGACCGAGACCAGGACCAGGACCAAGACCAGGACCAGGACTAAACAGACCAGAACACTACAAAGACCAGAGACCGGGGTTAGACCCCAAGACCAGGACCAAGACCAAGGACCAAGACCACGACCAGGACCAGGGACCAGAAGACAAGACAAGGACCAAGACCAGGACCAGAACCAAGACCAGGACCAAAGAACCCCAGGACCAAGACCAGGATACAAGACCAGGACCAAACCAGGACAAGACAGGACCAGGACTAAACCAGAACACTACAAAGACCAAAGAGTTAGACCAAGACCAGGACCAAGACCAGGACCGAGACCAAGACCAGGGACCAGGACCAAGACCAGGACCAGACTAAACCAGACAGAACACTAAAAAGAAAAAGCGGGGTTGATCAAGACCATATAAAACCAGGACCGAACCAAAAAAGGACCAGGACCAAGACCAGGACCAAGACCAGGACAGGACTAACCAGACAGAACACTACAAGACAAGACCGGGGTTAGACCAGGACCAGGACCAAGATCAAGACCAGGACCAGGACTAAACCAGATAGAACCTACAGAGCCAGAGACAAGACCGGGGTTAGACCAGGACCAGGACCAGGACCAGGACCAGGACCAGGACTAAACCAGATCAGAACACTACAGAGACCAGAGACAAGGACCGGGGGTTAGACCAGGACCAGACCCCAGGACAGGACCATAAACCAGACAGAACACTACAGAGAACCCGGGGTTAGGACCAGGACCAGGACCAAGACCAGGATCAGGACCAGACTAAACCAGACAGAACACTACAGAGACCAGAGACAAAGACCGGGGTTAGACCAGGACCAGACCAAGACCAGGACCAGGACCAGGACTAAACCAGACAGAACACTACAGAGACAAGACCGGGGGTTAAAC